AGATGTTATAATAAACAGCGTCACCATAAACAATCTAAGGTATGTAGATGACACTATGTTACTGGCCACAAGTCTAAAGGATCTGGAAGTGCTTTCAAGCTTAGTAGCAGAGCAAAGCAAATTAATAAATCTGCAACTAAACGCTAAATAATCGAAATGAATGGTAATAAACAAGAATCCCATACACATCTCTGATAACCTAAGAGTGGAGAATATAGATATTTGAGAGTCTCGATACCTTAATATCCTACAAGTATCTCAGAGAATGGGTTTCAGACAACTGGGATATGACACTGGAGAATAGGGGTAGAATAGAGTAGGATAGAAACTCTTTCAAAAAAATGCAGAAAAAATGTTCATTAGCAGATACTTGAAGATTTCCTTGAGATTATGAATTTAGCATACCGTTTTATGGCATAGAGACTTGGACAGTAACTGGCACCACGTGTAAAAGAATTCAGACACTTAAGATATAAATCTACTACAGAATATCAAAGATACTTGAACTGCCAAAGCGATCAATAAGGCGACATTACAGTGAGTAAACAAACAGAAGTTTTAAAATCCATCAAAAGAAGGAAGTTGGAGTATTTCGGATGTGTTATAAGAAATAAGAAATATTAACTACAATATTACAGATCATTGTTGAGGGAAAGATCGAGAGGAACGTAGTCCAAATAGATGCAAAATATCATGGCTCAAAAATCTAAAACAACTTACGACCCCGTCTGATTCAGAGTACAACGTCTTTATTTAGAAAAGCAATTGATAAAGAGCAGCTCATACTTTTGAATTTCGATGTTCTAGGAGGACAGAGCAGAAGAAAAAGAAGAAAGTATCTAGGCTCATCAGTAAAGCACAGTACTATTCTTTCACGTAATCCTGCGAATGCTATTTGTTGCATATATACAAATTCTAAAACTTTTATACGCAGCACACAGTGTCACGAGTTGACTACAGAAGCCGATAAAATTTTAATTTTTTTCGTTTTTTGTATCGAAATGTAGTAGTCGTATTCTGTTATTGTCAACTGCATTTTAATTCTGGAGAAGGATTTATAAATCTGTGAAATCAATATGTAAAAAGATCGGAAGATCCGTAAATAATCGCATACAATCAATAAAACAGGCCTGTGTTCGGCATCGCCGTAAAGGGATCCTAAAGTGCGATATTGTTGTAATAGTTTGTATGTACATGTTTACGGCCACATCAATATCGCACGCATACAAATTTCGTAACAAATTTTTTAAATACATAATTTTTTAATTACATTAAAATTTCTAGCTCATTTCTAAAAGCACAGTACTGTTTCTTCATGTAATCCCTAGTCCAAATCAAGATTGTTTCATATGTACATAGTGTAAAACTTTTACACAAATCAAATATTGTTAGCAATCGGCGCGAGAAGCCGAAAACAAAATTGTAATTTTCCAACTTTTATTCGTCTTTGGCATAAAGTCAACCGGTTTGGACTACATTATCGTTTACACTTTAATTGTGGAAAAAGATTGAAAAATTTTTAAAGGCAGTCAGAGAAATATTTGTTTAAAAAATAATCGCATTTGGTAGGCAAAACAGATCCCAGGATGAAATTACCGACTGCAATTTTGTGAGTATCTCCAAATTGATTGAATGGAATTGAAAATTCTTTAACAAAATTGAAGTAGACATAAAATAGATGTGCTATAATAAAATTTATAGTAAAAACAAAAAAAATTAAAAATTACATTTTTTCGGCTCGTACAGTTGTCACTAGACATAGACATTTCCATAGTATAAAAATTCAGTATCTCATATGTACAAATAAAACTATCGTGCAGATTGAATTACATGAACAATACAATAATACTAAGCTTTCTGAACTAACAAGGGACCCACACAAAGTGCACAATAGCTGCAGCATAAAGAAAATTATCCAAGTATCTTGACTCTCTTTGGATCACTTTACACCCAAAAACTAGACCGGAAATATAATTAATATAAATAATAAAATGCCTGTCGTAGGCATCGAAAAATTAAAAAAAAATTAAATTTATTTTATTATTTATATTTATTTTATTTCCAGTCTAGTTTTTGGGTGGAAAGTGATCCAAAGAGATGCTTGGATAACTTTCTTTATGCTGCAGCTATTGTGCACTTTGTGTGAGTTCCTTGTAAGAAAGCGTAGAAAAAAAAAAATTCACTTAACTACAATTTACGTATATACGCATACTTATCAAAGATAATGAATGGCAAATAGAGAATCATTGCGTTTAGCAGTAAGTGCCGGATTTTGCAAAAGATCGTTGACAATATGAAGACAGATGTACATGTTTAAGTAACAGAACAATATTGTATGAAACTGATTTAAAAATACCACTATTATTGTCATTTTTAGTTTACAATTGAGAAGTCTATTTTAACGACTTCGTGAAAGTTCAACTGTCGTGCTAGCATTTCCTTAAAAACAAAATCATTTCTTTTAATTATTTTTCTGTTTAGGTAAGTCAGTATAACTTTTCTTATAAAAATCATAAAATAAGTACAAAAATATAAATAAATTTCCAATAAAGATAGGTGTTATTTTATTTTTTTGTGTGTGCGCCTCACAATTAGGATTCACATACTGCATTAGGATTCCTACCAGCATAATAAATTGTACCTAATTTCACAAATAGAAAAAGTATTAAATAATAAAATACTGTAAATATGTATCACATTATTTAAATAGGTATATCAAATAAAAATATTAAAATATATTTTAAATAAAAACTATAATAACATCACGCGTGCGATTTAATTATAAAATATCATATTTATACTTGCCATCTGCAACTTAGTTATATATGGTTTAATAGGAGATAACATATGTTGGAATTCCGGGTTCCATGCAGCGAGAAAATAATAAATGTACATGATTACGTGCACACCACAATTGACCAATGAAACAATTGTCACCCTTTCATCCAAAATGTACTTTAAATAATACCAGAGAAATGTCACATTAGATACATGATGATACACGTGCAAAGTAGAAACTTGGTTTTGTTTCTTTCTCAATACAAACACGCAGGTTTCGACATAATCAAAAAGTTTCAGTAAAATTAACCACCATATTACATTCAGTAGCTGAAACGTAAATATATTTATACAAGATATGTAAAGTATTATAATCATTAAAACAATAAATATCAGCTATGTACATAGATATTGATATGACAGCCAATACCTAATAAAAGAATTAAAGGCTACTGATTAATTGTAAAATAAATTATCTTTTCAAATATTTTAATATATTAAATTTAAATTATTTATAAAAAAAAACTTTTTATTTAAATTAATTATATTTATAATTACACACAACTTAGATATTTAAATTAATTGTTCTTTTTGGTCTAATTAAAATTTATCAATGGTTATTATAATGGGTATAATGTAACTTTTGAAACGCATATTTAAAAATGATATAATTGCGAGTCAGAAATAGAATTCACATTTAATAATACTGTTTTTCTATATGATTTGTCTATATGATTTGTCTATATGAATTATAATTTGTCAACAAACTTTATGATAATTGTTATATTGGGAAAACATACCTTAATCACATTACTTTTAGAGTGTTCAAGAGCTTCATCACGTCGTCCACATATAAAACTCACTTCTGAAAACCAACCGGCAGATATATGTTCTTTTACAAACCATAAGTTTGCCAAAATTTGAATTACGTTATAAATTAGTATAAAGGTTTTCAATTTATATGGCGGTCGATTTTTCATGTAGCGAGGCCCAGCATAAAGAAC